ATTTATATTAAAAAAAATTGACATTAATTCTAATATTACTGTCAAATGGGAAAATTTTAATTAGATATCAATCAATGATGGAGCTTGATGGAAACTATAGGGGTGGCCAAAAAAAATTATTTTTAGTACATACAAATTTATTCTTTTTATTAAAAGTTTGTTGTAAATTAATTTTTTTAATTTTAAGATAAACAAATATTTTTTAACCTTATTTTTATTTTTAAGTTTAATTCTCTATCACATTTTTAAGTATAATTTTCCATCACATTTTTAAGTATATCCTATAGTATAAATTATAGAATTGCCTTTCACTAAATCAAAGAATAATTAGTTTCAGGATAAGTGCAAATTGATCCAAAGACATTCTAAATATTAAATCTAAAAAATTAAAGATGATGAATATGAATTTGTTAGAGTTTAGATCAATTGGATGTAAAATTAATTAATAATAAAACTGATTAAATTAATTAAATGTCCCTAATAAAAAAATCAAAACATAGAACAAACTGTAATAAAGAAAATTACATCCGACTAAGATCATTGATTAAATAATTGGTCTACATAACAAGAGGAATTTTTATTCCGTAAATCATTATCTAAAGACTCAAAATATTCAAACTTTCAATTATACTATTATTAAATACTAAATTATGGTCTAAATATAAATAAATTCTAGTTGTATAAAAAACGTAATTGTTTTTTAATAATAAAATAAATATGAAAACTACCAAAAAAAAATATTAAACTTTTTTTTTTTCAAAACCTTAGGGGGCCATAGTCACCTAAGCCTTAATAGAGCTCCATGATTGTAATCAATTGAAGTTTAATTTTTGCTTTTCCAAAACAATTGCAACCCTTTCCTAACGTGTGATTTGGGAGTGTAGACAAACCAAGGCTCATTAGAAAGCCTTTCCCCATGACGACCAGCTTTTGGTAGTTTCCAATGCAACTTCGTGGAAGCTGAACAATTTATTAGACAAAAGGCCAGGAAGTTGACCCCTGCCAACCATATAAAAAAGGGCTGCTCAATCTTCCATCTTTATCGTAATTTTTCCCATTAACACTTCCCTCAAACGTTTCGTTCCGTTTTCTCCTTTCAACCTTTATGCTCTTTCACATTTCATATAAATACCCCCACCATCCTACTCACATTTCAACGTACCAAACGAAAATAGTCTTTTCTTGTGCAAAAATGCCTTCATCACAAAATGGGGTTGTATTTGAGAATTTTTCCTGGTCATGGTGGAGAAATTAGGCAGAGAAGGGGTCGTGAATGAGCCGTGTAATGGGTTTCGGTTGTTGATGGATGGAGAGAAGAGTGTGATCACATTTGAGAGCTTGAAGAAGAACTTGGTGCTGCAAGGGTTGCAGGACATGAGCAATGAGGATGTGGCGTGCATGTTGAGAGAAGGTGATTTGGCTTTTAAGATTGTTAATTTACTGATTTAATCTTCTATTCTCAATCTATTTCAGAGTATGAATTACAATGATAAAAAATGTTGGATATTTCTTTGTCTGTACCTAAACATTTTGAATCTCTGTTGTTTACACTGGCTTTTTATTCCTCATTATGAAAGATCCAATGGGAAACTACCTTTGATTTGGATTAAAACTAAGGGACAAAACAGAATTTGTCTATCACTATTCATTTGATTTTACGAAAGCGGTATGGAAAGCCAAATAGAAATCCTTAGGGTCTCCGTTAAGCATAGAAATTTGACTAATGTTGATGCACAGGGTCCATAAATAGTCATTCTCAAGTTTCAGCAAATAATTCATTGCATCATCTCATTCAAGATTGTATTGCTTTACTTCATGACTTCATGCAGTATAACAAGTTGGACCTGATGCAGGACTGAAAGATGTTGAACTGATACATATTTCGTCCCATTTATAACTACATCTTTGAAATGCCAATTAAGAAAATGCTGCAGACGTTGGACAAGTGAAGGAACTAACTGTAATTGCACCAAACCCGAAGTCCTTCTCTAGTCCGCGCTTGCACTTTGGAATGACCTGCAAAGCCCCGAGGTGGAACTCAGGGTAGACACTCCGATGCTTAAGTCAGCAATAATCGGGGTTCCCTTTAGGGCGGAGATAAGAAAAGCTTAAGGTTGGTTTCAATTACCTTTTGACGTGGCCCGGGGGGGTATTTATAGGATTCAATGAGGAACCCACGTGGCATGTTAAGCAAGATAATCGGAGCCTGACGTGTTCATCCAGACGATTATTCCGGGACCGGGAATTTGAGAGGTATTCAGATGCACAAGCGTCCACCATACTTGCTGTGCGACTCATCACAAGGAATCAGGTGCGGGCATGCTTATTGTCACTGTCATGCATCTATTTGAGCGAGAGGCTTTGGGTTTATTTCTCACTTCGGTCATAGAGGAGTTATTGTAGCAGTCCGAGGCTTGGCACCTCGGACCTGTCCTTACACTAACCAATCATTATGCCAAATTAATTTCGCATTCTAGATGGAAAGACAGCAACATAATCCCAATATATGTTAAGATCAAAGTTCAACTCACCCCACTTGGGCAATTAATCAAACACCTGTTCAATTGAACAATTCTAGATCTCATCGCCTCAAAACCCCAAAATTTTTCCTGCATCTTTCACCAGTTCCAATTGAACAATTCTATCAGTAAATTCAGTCAATAAGCACCCAAGAACAATAAAAATCAGTTTTTACTTTATTTTTTCTTTATATTTTCCCAATCCCCTATATTCCCCCTTTACTCTGAAAAATGTAGTACAACAAGTTCAACCATCATGCAGATGTAGTGTAATAAAAATCAATCAGAACTCATTCCAAAGTCCAACTAAGTTGATGAAACAACTCTGACACTTCAAAACATGAAGGAATAAAAAACTGGGATCATGGAGGCATAAACGGTCGATTTGCTATGAAGTTATGTACATGATGGTGATGGAAGGTGAAAAACAGAACAATCTATCTTCCTGATACTGTTGTGACAGTGACATCATTTGAGGATACAATATCTTGACCATCCAAATAAAAGCCTGTATCCTTGGGGCCCTTCAATGTCTTCTTGCAAATATATTTTGGTTGTCTAGGCACTGGAAGTGTTGGAGTGCCTTCACTCTCAAGCATTAGCAATACATATTCCATTTTTGGTCTGAGTGCTGCAGAATCCTGCACACACAACATACCAACATGTATGCATTTCAGAACTTCACTAGGATTACATGTGTCTCGAATGGAGGGATCAACGAGTTCCATTGGCTTATTTTCCTTCCAAAGTTCCCACGCCTGAAACAGGTAGAGATTCCATAATCGGTATTTCATCTCAATTGATTGTAAGAAAAGTTCAGTTTCTAATTTGAGAGTATGCTGGTCTAGATAAAAACTGTATATCTACTTACATAACCAATCAAGCTGGTGTGCGTGTAATCAGATAAATGAAAGCTAGTGTTCTTCCGACCACTCACAATCTCTAGTAGTATCACACCAAAGCCATACACGTCTGATTTGATTGAAAATAGGCCTTCCATTGCATATTCAGGGGACATATAGCCGCTGCATTATGAAATGGTAGGAAATTATTAAGCTGTCATAGACCCGATATAGATTGAAAGTTAAGAGGATGCATAATGCATTGCTTACTATGTGCCTACTACTCGGACTGTATTTGCTTCATATTGGTTACAACCAAATATTCTTGCCATGCCAAAATCTGAAATCTTTGGATTCATTTCTTCATCCAACAAAATGTTGCTAGACTTTAGGTCCCTATGAATTATTCTAAGTCTTGAGTCTCGATGGAGATAGAGCAGTCCTCTTGCAATGCCTTCAATGATTGCAAAGCGTTTTCCCCAGTCTAGTAGTGCTTGCTTGGTTTGATCTGCCATAGATTTTATCATAAAATGCTGAGAACTATTGGGACAAATTACATTCCATTTAAACATAATTCAAGTTTATAAATTGCTTTTCAACCAGAAACATACAACTGAATCAGTAAAATGGATAGGAGGAACATACCAAAAAGAAAGCAATCCAAACTTTTATTTGGCATGTACTCATAAATCAGCAACTTTTCTTCCCCTTGAATGCAGCATCCTAATAGTCTAACAAGATTTCTGTGTTGCAGTTTAGCAATCAAGATAATCTCATTTTTAAACTCCTCTAAACCTTGGCCTGATCTTCCTGCCACCTCCAGCCTCTTTACTGCTATTTGTTGACCGCCAGGAAGCTCTCCCTGAGAACATAATCCACTTGAATCACTAGAGGGATATTTTCTGGTAAACTTAAAAGAGTTAGAGAGGGTCACCTTGTGCACAGGACCAAATCCCCCCTGCCCTAGTTTACTTTCTTCAGAGAAGTTGTTTGTAGCAGCCGCCACACATTTGAAGTTGAACAATGGTAACTCTGGCCTATTAACTTGACTCCCTTCTACAACAAGCTCGGTTGATCCTGAAAGATCTGCTGAGAATTCGTTACTGTTGCCCTCATAAAAAATTGGCATGCTGTTGTAAATCTCACTCTTCGGCTTCCTCTTTGACCTCCGTAGAAGCCATATGGTTATGCACAAGAAGAACACCCCAGCTACAGAAATTATAGCTAGCACTAGGTTGGAGAACTTTTTATCACTACCTATATAATTTGGAGAGAAAATTTAAGGTCAGCTAGCGATGTCCAATTATCAAGAGATCAGATAATTGATTCAATAATGACTTACTAATATACTACTGTTTCATAAAGAAGAAAATTTATTTTACCTAATTCAGAGCAAGGAAGACGGAGCATCAAGTTTTCACCCTTGTCCAAAATTTGAACATCAATCAAGTCTTCTGTCCAAATCAGGCATCCAAACGTGGTAACATCCTGAGCATATGCATTACATGAACAATTTGCCAGGCAGTTTCCACTGCAAGTCTCTGAGTCCCCCAGAGGCACCCTATTTGCAAAATCTGGCAACTTCATGCTCCTAAACTCTTTGAATCCATCTTGTTCACTGTTGCCCCCTGCATCACTAGCATTCCTCTTGCACCGCAGCTCCGTCCTCCTTTTGCAGCCACCTGACCAATTCCCTCTATTCCATTGGTCATGAAACTTTGGTTGAAACCCTTGTGGGCAGCTACACTTGGGAGATTTTGTGACATCGCAGACGCCAAAATTCCCACAAAAGTTGTAAAGATCACAATCGTTGACAGGCTCTAATTGCACCACAGTCCAGTTCTTTAGGCCATCATCCCACCTTAACTGCTCTTCCTTGCCATCCCATCCCATTCGAAACCTCAACAAATCAGAACCACTTGGTGGGGTATAAGTGAAATACCTGCTACCATTTGCCTCAGGCTCCGAAAGCCCGAAACCATATAAAAAACTAGCAAAAGAAGACAGATTGGCCACACCAGTAAATACCACTCCATTCCACTGTCCACTTCTCCACATCCTTCTTGTTTGATTCCATATCACAATCTGAGGTGCTCCAAAAGGATCAACTCCGATGCTGAAGTCCCCCGAGGAAGGATCATCTGCAGATTTCCATGAAGTAAGGACATGATTCTCTCCTTTGACAGTACTCACCAGAACTCTCATTCCGGGGAGATACGTATCGGTAGGATGATCAAAGCTTTGCCAATAAGCCGTTGCGGTATCACCAATGCTTCCACTGCTTGACAGAACAAAATTCCCTGTTGGCAAGAGAATTGCTGCTGTGTTGCTTGATGGAACTGAAGCATTTGAAGTCCAAACTATGTTGTTATTACCATCTAAAACCTCTAAATTACCATCGTTTCCAATCCTCAAAACCCCTTTTTTGCCAGAGATTGGAGCATCTCTATTTGCTACCCACACCACTGGTTTTACCTCAATCTTATAATACCATATTCCCACATATCTCAACGTAGAATTTGGTGGGCTGAAAAACCCCAATTCAAAAATCTCATGCTGAGATATCAGGGTTTCTCCTCCATTGTCCCTTATTGATTGTTCTGAGCCTATTCTGTCAATTGCATAGCAGCAATGACCAAAGAGACAGCAATGACCAAAGAGACAGCAAGGCAAAACAGAAAGGAACAAGAAAAGAAAATCAGCAACTGGGGTTTTCGGATCAATGTTCATTTCAAAAGTCTCTGAGAAATTAAAACAGAAACTTATGAGACTATAGAGATCTGAAAGAAAGTGGATTCAACATTCAGAAGGATATCTTCCGTTCGTGTTGTTGAGGAAGGTCCATGGCAAAGCTTAAAAAACAATTATTTTAAAAATAATATTCTTATTCTATAAATATAAAATTTTATTGTAAGAAAATTTAATTTTTTTTTAGTAAATTTAAAAAAGTTTAGATATGTAATTTTTAAAAAATTTATTTAGAATTTTAATTTTTAAAAATTTTTAATAATAGCATTTTAAAATTTTGGAAAGAAATAATACTTTTATAATAAAATATATGTAAAGCATATTGTTCTCCTAATATTTTTTTTAAAAGATCGGTTTAAAAATTTATATTTTAATTAATATTTTTAAAATTTGATTATTAATTAAAAATTTTATTCATATAAATTATGCATATCAATTTTTATAATTATCTAATACTTATAATTTTTTTATTAAATAACTCTATTTAGTGATATATATATTTAGTAGTGTTAAATTTTTTATAATTAATAAAATAATTAAATTTACTAAATAAATATCAAATTTTACATCCTCAATTTATATAAATAAAAATTCTAATTTAACACTTAACTTTTAAAAATATAAATAAAAAAATAAAATTTTAAATACATCCTTAAAAAACTTTTAAAAAACAACTTATCTAACACTTTCCCCTTTATAATAAATATTTTTTAACTTTTACGGAGCACTTTTCCTCTCGGAATAAAGATTAGACTGAAAAAAAGCATGAAACCGTTAGAGTATAGTAAGCGCGAGAAAAAGGAGGCACCGAACCTTTAGAGTCAAAGGGCAAATTAGACATTGAAAATCTCCACCAGGCTAGTTACAATTGTACTGGATCGAGTTTTGTGTATCTTGTGTTCTGTTTTATTAATTAGCTTCATCCTCTTATAATTTTCTTTTATTTTTACATTTATTTAAAGTTTTACAGTGACTTTACAGAAATATTCACACTTATTGGAGTATGAAATTCACATGTGAGGGTGACAGAAATGTTTAAGATCTGATATTGAGAAAAAATAAAGTGTTAGAATAAAAAATATATATAAATATATATAAAGTTTATAAACTTAATAAGTATGTTTTTTAAGTTTAATATAATGTCTTTTTATGTGTTCGTACGCTCTTAATGTAGCCCAATAAACTCTCCTAATAAGTAATATCAAAGTTAATAGTTCAATCATGATGTGAATTTTGTTCAAAAACAAGTTTAGTCAAAATTGTGAGTGTGAAGAAAAATATTAAATATGAGATATCTTTAGTAGTAGAAGAAGAGTAAAGTCTTCAACGAGGCAAACAAGGTCTGAAATCCAAAATAGTTATACTTATTAGAGAGACTTAATAGAACTACATAACATTTCACATTAAATAAAAAGTAAAATATATATGTAGGAAGTTTATAAACTTGATAAGTATGTGTTTTAGATTCTATATAATATCTCCTCATATATGTTTCGTGATCTTGACAAACAAATAATGATACTAAAAAATAACCCAATTGTTGCCATACATGAAATTGTTGGGCTCACATAAAAATAAAAAATTTTCAGTTGTAGGAACTGTTTTGCCCCTTTCATCACCAGAATCAAACTTCTAAAGGCATTCACTACAAAAGGCTAAAACCTCTATTTGCATTCAACATATTTTTTTAACAATCACCACCTTAAATTAGTTTTTGTCTCGATCAATATTTTTTATTATTTAAAATTCATAAAAAACCAAAAAATAACTGTCATTTCTACTTTGATTTTTTCGTCAAACTCCTATTTGCACCATCATTTTGTTAGTGGTTTGGGATTTTTTATGGGAACTAAATTATGGAAAATGTTAATCGAAATAAAAATTAGTTTAAAGTGTTAGTCACAAAAAATATATATATATATATAAAGTGTAAATAAAAAGTTTAACCGACTACAAAATTGTGAAATTTCTCTAAAATGATTTGTTCAATCTTGACCCAAATACTTTATAAACAAAAAAAAAAAAAAAAAAAAAAATTCTTGACCCAAATACCGTATCTTGCTGTTAAAAACTTAAAATTGCCTTAACGGAGAGCTCAGGTGAGTGTTTTCGGTTACCAATGGACGGAGAGTTTGGCGGTTATGGTTATCGCCACAATAATTTTTGTTGGGACTATTAGTTAAATTTTTATTATTAATTTAATTTGTAAAAATAATTAATAATTAATAA